GGGCGGCTAGGATCTGGAACCAACTTCCAAGGGAAGTGGTGCTGGCTCCTACCCTGGGGGTCTTCAAGAGGAGGATAGATGAACACCTTGCCGAGGTTGTTTGACCCCAGTACCCTTTCCTGCCATGGCAGGGGGTCGGACTTGATCTGCTCAGGTCCTTTCTGACCCTACCAAATATGAGACTGACTAGAGCCCTGTCCTGTGCCATAGGGCCTGCCAACTCCTTTGTCCCCAGTCCTTGTCCATAAACGAGTTTTTGTCAGTCTCCTGCTGTCAGGAGCTTGCAGGAGGTCCCTTGCTGCAGAGCCTGGGGTCTTCCCTGCAGTACTTGGGCTGTGCACATTGCCTCCAAGATGCCTCTCAGAGCAGACTGACTCTCCTGACCCCTTACCCCCTCCAGGGATCAAGCAGATCTTGCCTCATCAGATGACGACAGCAGGGCCAGTGCTGGGGGAGGAGAGGCGTTCGGATGAATTCTTCGACTCGCTGGATCATGTCATTGACATCCATGGGCACATCATTGGCATGGGCCTCTCTCCTGACCACAGGTGGGCACAAGCAGAAGCAAGGCACTGTGGAGCCAAGCATCAGCCATGTGCCAGATGGTTTTAGGGCAGTATCACTGGCTTTGCACTCCTGGCTGCCAGCTTATCATCTGTGAGAACACTGAGGGGTTTCCAGCCCTGCAGAGCCTTTGGCTGTGACTACACCAAGGGCTGCCATGGGACAGGGCAAAGGTGGGTAATAACTGCCCTTGGCTGCTGCACACCAATGAACAGCACCTCCAGGAGGAAGTTACCCTGCCTTGGAATTGGGGGTTGAATCTCCCAGGAGAGAGCAGATTTACCTTTGTTCAAGGGGTCACATCAGGTGTTGCAAGATTCCTTTTTTCAGGCAGCTGGGGATTTCCTAGCATGGTCTGTCAGTGGGCCTGTAACACTTCCAAGCCATGTGTTGGTATTTGTCCCCTGGCCGTGGAATCTGGTATGTGAAGGCCATAGCTGGGACCTTGGTGCTCTCGTTTACCCTACTATGCCCCTGACATGGAGCTGACTGTATGGGACATGGCGCACTTGCCTGAAGAGTGAGTTGGCTCTGCTCAATTTGGAGCTTGGATTCTATAAAAAGTTCCTGACCTTTTGGCTTCTGCAGCCCTAGCCAGGGACCATAGTCCATTCCTGTAGTGACCCTAAGTACTCTTGACCTCTGGCTTTTAGGCTTGTGTGGTCAAGGCAGGCCAATTTCTGTAGCTACCAGGCTGGGGATGAGGAAAGAATTCACTTCCTTTCTTTCATCCTCCATGACCAGTTGGCTGGGTTTCTCCTTCCTGGAGAAGCAGATGTGCACAGCCCTTGTGACATGTCTGCCAGAGCAGGGCTGTGAGGAGCTCTTCTCTTATATGGGGACTTCTCTCACAGCCTCAGAGCAACGAACCTAGCATGGGCATGTGCACCATTCAAGGAGCCTGTCCCATGCCCTCAAAACAGGTGTTGTCAGGAAGGTGGGAGCTTGGGTTTGACATCTTAACTAGCATAGCCTTACTTCCTCACAATGGCACTGAAGAGGAAGCAGCTGGGATTGTTGGGTCTTGCTGGAGGGGATGGGAATGGGTCTAGATTACACTGAGATGACCATTTTAGCAACAGTGCAAAAGGGCTGCCCAAGGTGGGGGGGGCTTTTGCCAGTGGAGCTGGGTCAGTTCCACTAGCTGCAGAGCTGTGTCTGACTGGATAGTTGCAATGCCTGTGAACTTCCCTGGGAATTCACCAGCGACATGCGCTTACCTGACCTTGGGAAGACCCTAGATTGTGGCCTGGGAAATGAGGCTTGCCCTTAGCAAGCTGAGTGCAGCTACAAAGGGTCCTGCTGAAATTCCAAACAACTCCATGGAAACAGCATGCTGTGGCTGGGAGTCAGTTGTTCCCTGGACAGTCTTGTACCAGCACAACTGCTTCAGCCTGGTGCCAGAGATGGGACAGAACAGGAAAAGGCTTCTCATGGGAACGGCTTCTGCAGATAAGGGAGTAACACACTGAGTTACAGGGGCTGCCAGCAGCACGGCTCTGGCAGGTGACCTCTGCTCTTGCTTCCCCAGGTACCTGTATGTGAACAGCCGGGCCTGGCCTCAGGACTGCATCATCTCGGACCCCATGCAGCCACCCCCCATCGCAGAAGAGATCGACCTGCATGTGTTTGACCTGAAGACAATGAAGGAGGTGAAGCGAGCCTTGCGGGCTCACCGGGCTTACACCCCCAATGACGAATGCTTCTTCATCTTCCTTGATGTCAGCAGGGACTTCGTAGCCAGGTGTGGGGGGGAGTGGTCTCTTGTGGTCCTGAAGTTGGCAGGGAGGGGGGAGAAGTGCCCTGGCTTTCTGCCCTTGGTAGCTCTGGGTCTGTGGCTTGCTGCTGGCGCGCTGTGTGGAAATGGGTTTAGGTTCACTCCCTGGGAGTCACTGCAGCAATAGTGTCTAGGGTGGGGGGTGACTCATTGGAGGCTCAGGAACAGTTCTCGACTACAGCTCCAACTTGGGCAGTGGGTTGGGCTCCACAGGAAACTGCAGCTGCCCACTGTGGGGGTGCTTGGACTACAGGACCCTGTGCTCTTGTGCAAAAGGTTTTCCCTACCCTTCCCTTCCTCCCCCTCTCCCCACCTCCATTCAGTCCAGCTGCTTGGACACTGATAGGGTAGGGCAGCCTGACAGCAGGCACTAGCCAACCGGTTGGGTTCTCACTGGTGTCTTGCCCAATGCAGCGGGGCAGAGGATCGTCATGGCTACATCTGGGACCGGCACTACAACATCTGCCTGGCCAAGCTGCAACACAATGATGTGGTCAACTCCGTGGCATTCAGCCCCATGGAGCAGGAGCTGCTTCTGACGGCCAGTGACGATGCCACCATCAAGGTGTGGCGCTCTCCCCGTTCTGTGCGCATCCAGCAGGCCAGGAAGCCCAGGCCCAGGAAGCTGCTCTTCTCCTGGCTCCTGAACCAGAAGAGCTGAAATGAGGCATCCACTCCTGTGATTTTCTCACGCCAGTCACTGCCCTCGTGGGGCTCTTGGAGGGGGGAGCCTCAGGCCCTGCACAATGGAGAGGAGCTGCTTGTGCACACAGCCCTTCAGCCAGGGCAGGTGGGGAACTGTATTCCCTCCATCTGCTCCTGTTAATAATTGAGCCCCTGCCCTGGGGGCTGTGAGCTGGGCCTGATCAGATGTAGCCTTTGGCTGATCACTGCAGGGCTGTGTGTGTGTGTGTGTGTGTGTTTTTTTTGTTTTTTTTTTCCCCTCAGCTTCTCACAAGTGCTGCTGCTTGGCTCCAGCTACTTCCAGCCAGGTTTTGGCTACTGCAGAGCACAGGCGGAGGCTGCTGTTTCTTGGATCTATTCCAGGGGAGTTTGGGATGGGGCTGGGCTCACTGAGAGCAGTTGGCTGCAGAGCACTTGGGCATGGGCAGGCATTTCCAGGCTGGGCTGATTTACAGCAGGACTCTTTAATGTAGCTGAGTTTTATGAATGTGTCTTTTGCCCTGACTATCAAGAGGCAGCTCACCTCCCTGCAGGGGCATTACTGGATCCCTGGTACTGGATTGGAGGGATTAGAACAGCTAAGGCTCTGGAAGTGGGGAGTGTATGCCTGGAAGCTAGCTAAGCAATGCGAACCTGTTTGTGGCAGCTAGTAAATGTCTTCATTTGGATCTAGCTTGAAAGGCAGCCAGCTGCAGAATGGATCCTCTGATTAGCAATGGGGAGGGCATGGGGAGTAAGTGGTGTCTTCTGTTGCTGTTTGTGCCCCATTGTCTGATCCAAGCTGCTCAATAGCACAACGTGGCTATGATTGTAGTACTTGATACCTTTTAAAACAGATTGTCCATTCTCATGGCTCCCCAACAGGACAATTCATGTCATGGCTAATGCGGGGGGGGGGGG